GCAGTCGTTCTCTTTTTCTTTGGTATGGCTTATGCTTCAATGGAAATAAAATATACTACATTACATCTATCATCGTCCCAGGGCTGAAATCCAGCAGATTCTAACAGGTTCTGAAGAACCGGTAGCGGAAAATTTGAGTAGCTTGGCGAACCGGCAAATACCATCTCTGGCTGACCCCAGAGTGGGATGGGAATGGAGATTTTGCAATATCCTTCCCCTACCATGCCCACCAAGCCATGCCCACAGAACCAGTAGGGAAAAATTTTGAATTCACTCACCCCTGCATCATCCATCCATCTATCCATCCATCTATCCATCTATCTATCATTAAGAAGATGATTTTCAGCAATATTCTGTTTGTGTCACATACACCAGTCGTATCAATTCGACTTCCTAATTAATCCAGAATAAGAGATTGTCCAATGATTAGCCTGTCTACTCCCTTTTCCATTGTCAACAGCAGTAACCAATCAGATGTCTCTGAATATACACAAGCAGGACATGAAGTTTATGCAGCATTTAATATTTAATGGCAGTTTCTGTTTAGGGAGATCCCATTTAACAGCTACCAACTGTTGTTTCTTTATTCCACAGCCAAAAGCTGGACACAAAATATTCACTGTATCTGTAAGTGGGGATCTAAACTCAGGATTTTGTTTTCTTTCCAATCTTTTCAATGAATTAATGACACATACAAGAGCTATTAATTACTGTAGAATAGAATTGTCTATTAATAAATTAATGGAGTTTAGGTGGAGTTTAGAATTTGGTCTTCTAAGTGCATTTATATAATTATCAAATTTTTTCCTAGTAATTCTTGAAATTGCCAACTTAATAGTCACCATCCACAAACATTAGAGGTTTGTCCATTTAACTTAATTTATTTTTAAAAAGTTGAAACTGGGAAACAATTCAAAATCATTCTGAAGGCTGTTGGCATCACGGCTGCCAAATCACCTCTTCCTACATGTCTTCAACATATATAGTTTTTGTAAAGAGGAAGAGGTTATTAAGAGGAAGCATTTCCTAGTGGAGTATATTCACCATGATAAAAAGGCATATCAGCCAAAGCAATCTTCTGTCAGGAGGTAGGACGGTTCCATATTCTTACATCAAATCACATTTGATTTAAGAAAAAATAGGTTTCCTTGATAAATTTTGACATGGCAAAAGGGAACAATTCTCTCCCATGGTTTTGCATGTCTATATACTTCTTATACAACCCAGTGGTGAAATCCAATTTTTTTTCTACCAGTTCTGTGGGCATGGCTTGGTGGGCATGGCAGGGGAAGGATACTGCAAAATCTCCAATCCCACACCACTCCAGGGGAAGGATACTGCAAAATCCCCATCCCCACTCCAGGGGGAAGGATATTGCATAATCTCCATTCCCACCCTACTCCAGGGGAAGGATACTGCAAAATCCCCATTCCCTCCCCACTCCAGGGGAAGGATACTGCAAAATCTCCATTCTCACCTCATCCCAGAGGAAGGATACTGCAAAATCCCCATTCCCTCCCCACTCCAGGGAAGGATACTGCAAAAATCTCCATTCCCAACCCACCCCAGGGGAAGGAGACTGCAAAATCTCCATTCTCACCTCATCCCAGAGGAAGGATACTGCAAAATCCCCATTCCCACCCCACTCCAGGGGGAAGGATACTGCAAAATCCCCATTCCCTCCCCACACTCCAGGGAAGGAGACTGCAAAATCTTCATTCTCACCCCAGTCTGGGGCCAGCCAGAGATGGTATTTGCTGGTTCTCTGAACTACTCAAAATTTCCGCTACCGGTTCTCCAGAACCTGCTAGATTTCACCCCTGATACAACCCTTATTTTTTTCCTCAATTTTGTTCTCATTTTATTGTTTTATCCTGCCTTAATACCACATGAGGTGTAGTAAATAAATATAAAGTAATAAAGGAAGTCAAGGCAATGAATATAGTATTCCTTCCTCCTCTTATTTTTCAACAACAACCCTGTTGAGCTGAACATCAATGCCCGCAAGTAATTGTGCCTAAATTATCCCTGTTTATATTATTTTTGCAAATAGATGCATAGATGCTGTTGCATGAATTAGAGATGCCAGAGACTCAAAATACATTATATAAAAAACAATTACTTAGTTTGGACTAAAAAAAGAAAACCTGTACACATCAAATAGATCTATGATTTCTTATTTTTTTTAAAAAAAATCACAGTCCCTGTGATTTATATGTGTCTCATATTAAATAAAGGTCAGCAATTGCTTCTGGAAAAAAGCATAAACAAATTATTTTTTTCGGTTCCAAAGAATGAAAGCAGATTCTACGTTCAAGGCAGAGTTCGTCAGCAAACACTTTGTGAAGTGTACCACTGGAGCAAATTCAAAGGATCACACCCAGTATCGATTGCCATCTCAAGAAAACCATAACTGAGATGAAGGAAACTGTGAATCTCCCCATTAGGCAGCCTTTAGGAGGTTCGGTTTTGCCTTGCGTACCGCTTTACACTTTGTAGGTTTTCGTTTTAACACATTGCCAGATCAGTCGCAACCAGATGGTTGCAGTGTGCGTGACATAATAAAGCAGTAGCTCTAGGCCTCCCTTGATCACTCTTGCCACTTGGAAAGAGAAAGCACAACTTCTAAAGCATTCTCTCCTACTTATGTAGCTTAGAGTATGCGGCTTATTCATTCTTCACTGCAGCCATATAGTGTCCCCAAAGAAAATACTTTGCAAATCCATGCTAAAGGAATACACCTGGTTGGAGAAGGGGTGTGTGTTGTTTGTTGGTTTCTTTAGGAACTGTTTTTGTCAATGAAATAAGAAGATGTGTCCCCCCCCCAAAAAAAACCCCCAGAGGATGGTAGAGGACAGGAAGGCCTGGAGGAACGTTGTCCATGGGGTCGCGATGGGTCGGACACAACTTTGCAACTAACAACAACCCAAAAAACGGGTGCAACTTGCCCTTGCCTTTGTTCTCAATTTAATACACTTTGCTCAGCAGTTCAGCAAAGAGATTCAACTTCTCTCCCTCCCTCAAATAAAATTATTAAGAGTACGGAGAGAACAATTAGATCAGTGAAGTAGTACTTAGGCTGATCACTTATTTCCCTGTGTATTTTATTTAACTCTCCTTGAAGCTCCTCTTTGTATAGATAAACAGATAAGATGCAGCTCTTTCTCAAATGCTCTGTCGTGGTTTGAGGTACCGGATGATTGTTTATAACTTAAGGAGCTTATGTTATTGAGATTCCTATGATACATCCCATTTAGCCCTCTGTCCCCATAACTCTATTGATACTCTTAAAAGAAATCACTACAGAAGTTTTGTTTGTGAACATCTTTGAAATAAATAGGGATGGAATGGGATGGGATGCCATTTATATGCATGTATCATTGATTTTCTTAAACTCTGCACAAGACCTTTTCTTAGTAGTTTACACATAGCATAGCCATTACTACCTAGAAAATCACTAACTCAACCTATTTCTCCTGGAGAAAATTTACTGATGTGGTTAATAAGAGTTGACATTGACTTGATAGCACATAATAGTAATCAATCAATTATAATTAAAACATCAATATCTTTATTGAGACAGAGAGGGGAGAGGGAGGAGAAGATAGATGAAAGAGAGAGAGGGATTAGTGGAGAAAGAGAGAGGAAGAGAGAAAGGGTGGGAGGGAAGGAGGGAGAGAGATGAGCTTACATTTAGAAAACAGATCACTTTCAATGCTACAATACTGAGAGTTGTCAAAATATGGCATTATATCATTTTCATTGCTCCTAAATGCCAAACAGAAAAGGCAGGATTCAGACTGTGACTTGTGTACAGCACTGCAATCATTACAACTTTTACCTAAGAATAATATGTATATTTGTGAATTGTTAAAGAAGGAGTGTCACAAATATAATAATTTTATTAGAACAAATTGGTTGACTCAGCCTTCCATCCTTTCTAAGGTAGGTAAATTGAGGACCCAATTGTGGGGGCAATAAGCTGACTTTGTATAAATATACAAAAGGATGAAGGCTATTGCTGAGCACATTGTAAGCCGCCCTGAGTCTTCGGAGAAGGGCGGCATATAAATCAAATTTAAAAAAAAAATTGGAAACTCCAGATATGGTTTTAGCCCAATGAAACGTGGATTGTGAATAACTGGAATGTCAATCTTTGATACTGGTTAGTAACACAGCTTCTCTATTGCTACAAATCAGTTGCACTTGAAAGAGAATAACTAGCCTCTCATTATTTTGTTCAGTTTAGTTTCTCCTTTCATGCAGAAGTTGTAACAAAGTTGTATGTGAGTAGAGGACTATTTTGGCAGGATAAATTTGTATTACCTATGAATATGCATCATATGCCTACAAAAGGAGTTCCAAATGGAATTAATTACTAAGTCTTCAATACATTAGTAATTGTATTGAATATACCTAGTCATGTTGTGCAGGTATAGCTTATATAAATCATTGAGATTCGCCTCCCATTTGCACTCAGAAGCTAAGCAGAGATGTGCCCAGATAGCACTTGGATGGGCAACATCCATTCAATAGCAGAATTGTAATCTATTCTGGAAGAAGGCAATGGCAAACCATTCTCATTCTGCTGTATAGAATGTTGCAGGGATAGATCTGTAAAGTCAGGGAAGGAAAACTCTAGGCACTGTTGGTGTGCCTAATATGCAACAGGCTTCTTTACTAATCTGGAGAAGATCTCCACCATTTGGTTTTATTATTTAAATGAACGCTGGTCATTAGTAGTCAGGGCAACGTTTTGTCATCTCATTATGTCAGGAAAACTACATGAAGAGAAAGACCTAAATTCCTTTGTTCTTTGCAAAATCCAAGACAGCAACATCTTGTGGCTGGCTTGAGAGTAAGTAAACAACTGTATAGAAAAGGCTGAAATCTGAGAAAGAGAAAGCTAATGAGAGAGAGAGAGAGTTGTTGCTCACCTGCTGGCCAAGATCTGACGCTGGGGCGGAGTAGATCGGGTGAAAAAGAGTTTCGTCCCGCCACCACCACCCTCCGCCAAAAAGGCTCCTCCTTTCCAGACTTATCCCGGCCAACTTGCGCACGTGTGCGCGTGTTTCAGAGTCAGCTGTGCGAGCACACGTGTACGCGCGCGAGCAACATCTGAAGGGAGAAGAGGCTCCAGTGGGTTTATTCCTGCAAAGACTTTCTTTCCAACACTTCTTTCTCTCTCTCTCCGTTCTCCTCTCCCTCGACCTCCTTCTCCCTCGGCGCTCGATGCGGGGAATGCGGTGGAAACCGCAGAAGGAGGCAACGTTTCCCCAAGGCTTCAGCTTCAAGGTGCGACGGGTCCTTCGCTTCTCTCTCAGCCGCGCCAGGCAACTACAGGGATCCCGTCCTCCTTCGGAAACTGACTAAAGAGAGCGTTGGATGGGACTCCTGCCTTGGGTGGCTTCCTCGCCCAGGAACGCGGCTTCGCACCTAACTAGGTGGTCAGCACCAGGGACAGCTCCCGGCGCCCGTTCTTCCTGCGCCTCCATCCTGCGTTCTGACTCCTGGCGCTTGCTAGCCAGACGCAGGCGATTAAGGGGAGTGAAGGTCGGCCACGATTATGGAAGCAGACAACTGGAACCAGAGCGAGCCCAACAGCACCCAGCTTTTTTGCGGGGGACCCAATGGGACTCTTGGGGGACGAGAAGGCAGTTTATGTTCTGGGGTCAGCCCTTCCATGATCACAGCCATAGTGATCATGGCCCTCTATTCCGTCGTATGTGTTGTGGGGCTCTTCGGGAACTTCTTGGTCATGTATGTCATCATCAGGTAAGAAGAGCGGCCGGGGGGAGGAGCTGCCCAAGTGGGGGGACGGCAAAAGGGAGGCTGAAGCAAAGTACGCACGGAGGGAGGCTTGGGAATTTGATGATGATTATGATGATGAACCACCAAAGTCAAGAAAACGGTTCTGTAGTTGGCTCTATTGGATCTGGACAAGCTAAGTGGCAGAGAAAAAGACGTGTGGTTCTTCTCTTGATAAAACTCCAAATGTGTTTGTTTTTTTGGTTGGGGGGGGTGCTCTTTCTCTCTCCAGAAAGAAATTATCCAGTCGTTCTTCCCACAATTCTCCCCATAAAAGCAAGCTAGATACATTTGGGATCAAATCCTACTAAACAGCATATCTATGAGTCTCTATAATATTGTTACATGTTTTAGGTAAATGATTACTCCTGATTTCAGTCCCAGAGGATTGATATAGCATCTCCATCCTGGCAAATACAAAAATACAAATTTGATTGTCAACTAAGTGGCTTCTTAAGATCCAAAGACATTTTGAAAGCAGTAGCAGTTCTTCTAGGATGATTCTGAAGAATAATTTCTAATTATGTTGTAGAAAGGATATGGGCGTTAATTAGGAAGTAAGAGACTGAAAATCTCTGCTTAATATAACTATGATTTGCTTAATTTTGTAAGTAGCTACAAAAAATGTGTGCTTTGGGGTGAAAAGAGCATGCTGTTTCAAATGATCATTTGGGCAGCATAAGCATTTGAGGCACGCAAAAGTTATTTCATGTTAATAAAGTTGTTTATGTTCCTGAGAATAATGTAAAAAAAAAAAAAGTTAAAATGAGTAGCTCAGACTATTTCTGCAACCAAAATCCAAATCGGATATAATGAAATAGAGTAGAGGAGGTATACAAGGAAGTGAAATACGTTAAAGAGGCATTGGAATCCACAGATACGAATTGCAGTGCAGTTCCAACAATCTAATCAGATGTTTAGTTTCCTATTTCTTTCCTCAACTGAACTTTGTGCCCAAAATCCCTTTCTTTGTATCATTTAGGAAATTCTACTAAAAGAGCCTAAATTCATTTTCCCAGCAAGTCTTCCTCAGCCAAAGAAATGGCAAACCGGTCTTCTGCCACAAAGATAGTTATATCCATTGGAAGTTTCTGTACTCATATTTAAGTATATTGGCTGTCTGTTCTTAAAGAAAGGAACCATGTCCTTTTGTATGTTTTTAATAGGTGTTTGGTGTTAAATTGGATTTGTTTAATGAAGGCCAAGTAGAGAAAATTTTACTTCTAGCATTCCACAAATGTTTCAGAGGAATGAGTTACAGTCAATATCTATGGGAACACAGCACCATCTATTGAAATGATGGATAACAACAGGTGGAAACTGTTGCTTCTGGGAACCAAGTTGGGGAGGGGGGAGAGTTCTTTGCCTTAAGAAAAGAAAGGGAGGGGAGAAAGGGATGTTTACTGTCCAACATTTATCTCCACTTCTTTTTTTCCAAGAAAAAAAAAACTTACTATCTTTCTCATCTGTTTTAAAGTAAGGTGGGCATTCATTCATATTTAAATGAATATGAATACATAACAACAGATTAAATATTGGAGGATGAGAGTTCTTGCCATCCTTTAGAATACTAGAAGCTGGCACTTCCCAATCTGGTGCCAGCTGTTTAATTCCTTATCTTCGCTGCCAGCAGGGCCGTGTTGGCTGGCAAAAAGCTATGCTTAATGCATGTAGATAGCATCACCTGAAGTGAAGATGCCACCAGGCATAAGTAGCATGTCTAGGCCATTCTTTTCTATGTCATCAATTTTCTATTATTATTTTTTTCACTTGACGCTGAACCTTTTGAAGCTACTGAGCAGGCTTTGTTGCCCTTTGACTAAATCTCTCCCCCTGGTTTTGCTCTCCTTGGAACAGGAACAGGAAACAATTGGAGACATTTTCTGATTGCAATTCCTATCATGCCTCACCATTAAGCAGGCTGGTGGGAGTTCAGGTTCAATAACTGAATGAGCCCACGTTGCTCTTCCTTGCCTCAGATAATTTGGGATTTCCTCAATAGGTCCATAGTGGCTACAGAACTATTGACACACTTTTCTTTTGCAGAAGGATAGATTACTACCCTTCTAATGAGCCTTCAGATGATGATTACAGGATTCTCAATGATGTCTTACAGTAATTAAGCTCGTAGTTGATATTGCAGTAAAAGAAGTGATTGATAGAATTATTGCAGGCCTGTTTTTTCCCCTCCTTGCATAAGATAAATGCTTTTTTTAAAAAAAAAAAAAGTTGTCAGGGTACCTGAAATATCCAGGTTCAGTTCTCCACTAAAAAAAAAACGGAGTTCCTATCTAGACTTTGTTTCCTTTCACTTTTTCCCATTGATAGAGGATTTTTGAGGATAGAATAGAGTTCTTTGGAGGCGGGGAAAAGTGAATAAAAAGATAAATAAATAATTGTGAGCTTCCTAACATAGGATCTTTTTTCAGACATAAAGGCAAGAAACTGAGAGATCAGATTTAATCTTACGTCCATTCCCTTTTCTGACACTGATGTGAAATGCGTCTGTGAGACTATCATGAGCATGGCATGTTGCGTGGTTTGCAAGAAGGGGACACCAATTCTCTAAAATAAATAAATAGTTAACTTCCAGTAGTTAACATTTCCAGTTCATATTCTATATACACTTTATAGGAGACCATTTTTATTTCTGATTAAATCAGGAAATCACAACAGGGAGCAATTAGAATGTCAGCTAGATATTTGCTAGCTCTCCCTGGGGATGCAATTACAGCCTATAATGTTCATTGACTGTTTTGAATGTGTGCTTTACAGACCTTTAAACTATCAGTCAGAAGTGATTTCAAATGTAGGTTGATGTGTAAAAGGAATAGGCAATTTTAGAAATATTCGGAAAAGAGTAATACTGCGCACAAATAGTAATTATAAAGCAGGTAGGCCTGGAATGGAATGGAATGGGTACAAAAATCACCTAGAAAAAATATTTCAGAAATGAAAGTTGAATGTTGATGTGGAGTGCTCAGATGTGGAGTACTTTTGATGTGGAGTACTTTTTAAATAAATTTTGATATTTAAATGACATGTGACACTGAAAAGGAGATAGCTTTCTTCCATTAAAAAAAAAATCAATGAGAAACCACCACTACACAGAGACATGGGAAAGGACTCTTTAATGTTTCCCTTTCTTTGCCATTGCTACCATTTGTCTGGCCAAGTTCATTTTCCATCAGTGGAAACAAATATTTGGGACTTGCATCTCTTTCTTCTAGAGGAGAAAGCAATTTTGGAGTGGAAAAGCAGCCTAAGGGGAAAGGATCAAATAATCCTTTCTCCTTCCTTCTGCTCTAATCTCCCTTCCGTCCTGTTCATCAAGCTATCCATGCTCTTTTTCATAATGTTACCAATCAATTCTATAGAGCGGTTGCATTTACAGTAAGCTTTATCTTCCCCACAGATATATTCTAAGACATAATGCTTCACCTATGATACCTCAGCTTTAAGGTTTGCATGATGCTTGAGTGTGGCTTACTTTTACACTAGCAATATAGATATAAGATGTAATAAATGGTGGCAATTACTATTTTATGAGTGTCAATAACATTGTGCGTACCTGAACATGGGTGCATACATATGCATGCATCTAAAATTATGTATAAATGTTTGATAATGTCCTGTTGATTTTAATAAAAAAACCTGCTAAATCATTTTCTCATAGCCATAGCACTCGGTTCAGTAAGGTCAATGCCCACGATTCTATGATAGAACCATATTTACAGATTTATTTCTGAGAAATATGGAATGCTATGTCAAATAATTTAATGGTGATATTTTCACACAGCTAAAAATTCTATTCTGGACACTAATGAAAGGAATTATTTACTTGGTGTTTCAAATACTTGCTGCAAATTCAGCAAGGATTATCCTAACAGCCTAGCAACTGTATAGTGTGCATATTGATTTCGCGGAAATATGTGCTGAAGTCACCAAAATTCATTTGGATTAATGTTTAGGCTGTTTTGGTGTAATGCTGGTAAAAATGACTCTTGTGCAAGGGTGCATAGAAAGTTTGTAACTCAGGATAGGTGAACACTTTTGAATAATAGTATTTCATCATATCAACTATAATTAAACCATGGAATATGCTAATACATTCTGTATCGATCATTAATTAATTCACGGTATTAATTCTGGACTAATTCTTTGGGGATAAGCATAACCATTAGTCACAATGTTGCCCCTAGAAATCAAATATTATGCCTTGGGACATCAATATTTGAGAATAAGAAGGTAAGGATCAGTTGTATCGATGCCCTATTTAAGAACTTCCCAAAGGGAACTAGATTGCATTGACAAAAACAGGATGCCAGTCCAGTCTCCATGCACCTTTGATCTAATCTAGGTGAAATAAATGATGGAAAGGGGAAAAAATTTATGTAAACCTTTGCCTAAATTTAACAGATGTCTTGTGACAAATCTAGACATCTCCTTATTCCCTTCAAAGTGAAATAAAGGGATTCCTACTCCTTTCCACTTCTTATGTCTTGGTAATTTAGATCAAAAATGTTCAAAAAACAAGATCTGAAGTATCCTAAATGAGATGGCAGGCTAAGTCACTGAAGTGAAAAGGGGTAGGACTTCCTTCATTTCATCTTTGAAGAGAATAATGAGATCTCTAGATTTATCAGAAAACATCTGTTAAACTTGGGCAAAGGTTTACATGATTTTTTCCCCTGATCTATCATTTATTTTTACCACAGTGAGTTAATAGTGGTATTTTTAAAAGTACTCAACCCATGGGCTACATATTGCTTATGTCTGATTTAGATAAAAGTATCTCTGCTAGAAGCATGATCAGATTCTCTGGTGCCTTTTAAATCCTACCCACAGGGAGGATGTTGTGCATTTATTTCTTTTGTGCCACTATATAGTTGAAAACCCACTCTGTATACCACACTGTTACCTAACACAGAAACACCATTTTACATGGCCTCAATCCCTCATTTTAC